GACCAATGGCTTTTCTTCAATTCTTTTGCTGTTTTAGGAATATGAAACAATTCAATATATTTATTTATTATATAACTATTAAAAAATACATACTTAAATGGTGCAAATAAAAAACTAAATACTTTTTTAATTATATACATAGTTGTTGATAATTTTGTATCATACTGTTTAAAATTTACAATTAAATTTTTACCATATTTATAATTTAATAAATAATTTGACCATAAAATATATGCTTCTTCAATATGTGAATATATAGTATCAGAGCAATAACCAAATTCTTTTTCATAATCTGAAAAAAAATATTTATTTTTTTCTTCATTTATTTTATTTAAAACAAAATTATATTTATTATCTTTTAATTCTCCAACGTCATATTTATTATTGCATAAGAAATATTTATTATATCGGTTGTGTATATATTTTCTGGCTAATAAAAAACTTCTTAAAGTACCAGAGCTGATTGTTCTATGTTCATGTCCTTCTTTAGATAGACGTATACGTACATAAGAACATGGCTTCTTGTACTTTTTTATAAACTCGTTTTGTATAATATAATTTCCTATATCACTAACAGCTGATATAAATGAAGCACTATGTATTATTTTTAATTTTTTTTCTTTTGCTGTTTTATCAAATTCTTTATATATATTTAATATAAAATTATGTTCACCAGATACATCTATATAATGACAGTTACTTTCAATACAAGCCTTTACAATATTATACCCATATAATGTAAAAGGGCCTACAGTATTTATAACAACTTTACATAGTTTACAACAACTTAATACTGACTCATATGAAGTTGCATTAACATTATCTTTTAAATGTATTTTTTCAATATTACTTATTTTTTCTTCTTCTTTCAAATATGATAAATACTTATTTAATTTATTTATATCTCTAACAGCACATAAAATTTTTATTTTCTCATTTTTTATTTCTTTTTCATAATTTTTTAAAAAATATTCTAAAACCATTTGTCCAGTAAACCCTGTACTCCCTAGTAATAGTATGTCATACATTTTTCCAGCCATTACGACAACCAAAAAATTGACTTGTCTATGAAATGAAAATAGTATGTGCGATTATATACACGTGATTATTTTTTTTTTTTTTTTTTTATGTGTACATATGTATTTTATTTTATTATGAATATTCAAAACAAATATTTTTATGCGATTTGTTATTCATAACACGTTGCTTTTAATAATTCTCCAATATATGTATATGTCTATATATATAAATGCCATACATTTGAACACACTAAAAAAAAGTAATATTTTTGATAATTAAAATATGATGATAAAAGAATGTCATACATCCTTATTGTAAAAACACAATATTGTTTTTTTATACCAGTAAATAAAAAAAAAAAAAATAAAATAAAATCGATGTATATATATATATATAAACATATGTATAAATGTACATAAATGAGCCAAATTCCTAAACAACTTTTATCAGTACCGAGGAACAATTTTTTTTTTTTTTTTTTTTATATATCCAAAGAAAAAATTATGCTTTTACTTATTGTCAAATATTTGTTAAAAAATGGATTACATATTCAAGTATAAAGCTAATCTCTATATAAGGAATGAAATATAAAAGGAATGAAAATAGCTTTTTTTTTTTTTTTTTATATATCCAAAAAAAAAATTATGCTTTTATATATTGTCAAATATTTGTTAAAAAATGGATTACATATTCAAGTATAAAGCTAATCTCTATAAAAAGGAATGATCTTAATTTTTTTTTTTTTTTATGTTTCTTATTTTTATGTATTAATTATTTAGCTATAACAAATTTTGTAGCTTCATAGATCATTACGATATATAATATACATATAAGTGTATAAGTTTATATACATTCATATAAACATTATTTTATAAAATAGTTATATTCAGCAAAATATACCGCAAAAAAAAAAAAAGAAAAAAAAAAGTTGCAATTGTTGTTAACAGGTATACACAATGTATAACAAAATGTACCCTAACATAAAAGCTAGATGTAATATTTAAAGAGGAAAGAGGGCAAAATATACAAATCAATAATAATATATCCTAACAAAACAAGGAATATTTAAAAAAAAAAAAAAAAAAAAAAAAAATTGCCTTTTTACCCATATTATTGAATATAAATTCATATATATGTATGTATATTACCATATCACAACAATGACAACATATTGACATATTTTATGTTACTGTTTAAATCCAATTAATAAAACTCACAAGATGACTCTGTCACTATAAATAATAATTAACGATTTTTTTTTTTTTTTTTGTTTCGTACTTATATATGCTTACATATGCTTCTTCATGTTTTATCCTTTTTTTTTTTTTTTTTTTTTTTTTTTTTTTTAAATATACTCCCCCCCCATATATTAGCCATTTAAGTGGTTGTTAATATTAACAAAAAAATGATACATTAAGTAGCTAGCGCATAAGCGAAGTATTTAATGGGGCCTTTTTTTTTTTTTTTTTTTTTTTTGCATATTTTTTTTTACTTTCGTTGTATTTTTTTTTTTTTTTCAAATTGTAACTTTTAATTTTTAAATTTTAAATTTTTATTTTTAATTATAATTTTATTTTTAATTTAAATTTTATTTTTAATTTAAATTTTATTTTTAATTTAAATTTTATTTTTAATTTAAATTTTATTTTTAATTTTATTTTTATTTTTAATTTTATTTTTATTTTGAATGATTAGTTTTTCCGTTTTTTTTTTTGTTTATGTATTTTTTTAAATATATTCAATTTTTGTTTTTTTTTCCATTTTCATATATTTAATTTTTTTTTCCGAATTTTTTTTTTATTCATTATTTTATTTATGAGTTTATTAAACTTTTTATATGGAATGAACATATATAACTTCGATGTTTAAAATGTTAATTTAATGTTTGTTTTTACTTTATTTTTTTATTGAGTAATGATATTGTAATGTTATAAAAATAAAATATAGAAATGATGGATTGAACAGAACTTTGAGGCCATCCCGCTCGGCCTTTTTTTTTTATGTAAGTATCTCCCAAATAAAAAATTATAAAATTTACATGTTTATACAAGTACATAAAAATACGTGTTTATGCATACGTTAGCAAGTATGTTTCTCATATATATTTATGATGAATTTTTTGTTAACGTCTGTGCAAGCGCATATATTATTAAAAAAAAAAAAAAAAAAAAAAAAAAACAGGGCACATCGCATATATAGTTTTATATTTTGCATATGTTACATTATGTGATTATAAACATATAAGTATATAATAAACATAAGTATATAACACAAAAAATGCGCCTTATAAAAAACATAGTATATATATATATATATAAGTGTGTTTTTATAAGTGTTTTTTTTAAAATTTTTTTTTTTGTAAATGTTTTTTTTAATGCCTTCTTTTGAATAGTTAATTTATATGAGTTATTAAAATATATATATATTTTTTTATTTTAAAAAAGTATAGTAGAATAATAGCTTTAAAACTTGTTCATAAAACAATAATATATTCGGTGGCTTTATAAATTTTTATTTTATAAATGTCAATCCAGATATATAACAGTGCAACTTAAAATACATATCACAATATCACAGTGAATTTTGTAATCATCTAATGCATCACTTTTTGTGTTTATATATACCTATAAATATTTATATATAATATTCATTGTAATGTTTATATACATATGTATTCATTTATTTGCCTTCTCATTTCAAAAAAAAATAAAAGTGTTTTATTCATTTATTTTAAAGCTTTTTATTAAAAAATGTTATAAACATAGAAAGATTTTTGATTTAGTTTTTTTTTTTTTTTTTTTACAATATGATGATCATAATTTACATAAGATTTTGATAATTTATCAAATGATTGTATATGTATCCTCTAAGAAGTTCTGATTATAAAAAAAAAAAAAATAAAATGTTCATGTCTAAACCAAGTACATATATATATATATATATATGAGTTTATATCAATACGTACAGTACATATATGTTTGTGTGGTATATTTATTTTTATTACTACCAGCATATGTTGTTTAAAAAAACACTTAAATCATAAATTGTGCTATTTATATAATAATTACAATAAACACTTAAAATAAAATATTATAATTGTAAAAAAAAAAATAGTACTAAATATATGTTTTATTTTTATTTATTTTAAAAAAAAAAAAATTTTATTGAACGATCGAAGGGTTATTATTAAGATATACATTTTTTTTTTTTTTTAAATTTAAAAAAGTATAGTAGAATAATAACTTCAAAACTTGTTCATATAACAATAATATATTCGGTGGCTTTATAAATTTTCATTTTGTAAATGTCAATCCAGATATATAACAATAAATCTTTAATAAGATTAACTGTCCCTGTTAATTATTATTATTATTATTATTATTATTATTATTATTATCGTGTGTATTTTTATTTTTCGCTTATATATATATATATATGTGTGTGTGTGTGTATAATATTTATGATACCAACCCATATAACATAACTTTATTTATTTTCGTTTTTTTTTTTTTTTTTTTTTTATATATAAAGCAGACCTTTTTTTTTACCATAATCGTAATAGTATTGAAATTAATTAGTAAACAAATGTAAAGACTACTCAACATATAAAAGTATTAACAATGCCACATGTACATATGGAGATATGAAAAGACAAAAATAATACGTGTATAATACTTGCAATAAAACAGAAAAAAGAGGAAAAGGATAATTATTTTAATTTTATAAAAAAAGGACATGTTTGACTTGACAAAATGTTGATAAATAAATTGGTTTTTCGAATTAATTATGCTTTAAGATAAATACATATAGGTTTTTTTTTTTTTTTAATTTATTAAAATGGTACTATAAACAGAAATGAGTGAAGAGAACAATAGAAGAGGATGTAAACAGATAGGCATAGCAGATATATTTTAGTAAAAGTTAGGCAGGATATTGTAAAAATGTTTAAACAAAGAGACTAAAAAATTATGTAATTTTTTTTTTTTTTTTTTTAATTTTGGAATGAGTTTAAGCTCAATAAATCCTGCAAATATACATACACAAAAGATTTTTTCTATGTGTAATTTTTAAATACAGGAAGGAAGGTCTGAGATGCTGCCAATAAAGAAAAAAGAAACAAAAAAAAAAAAAAAATAAAATAATAAAACAATAAATAATTTAAATTAGAGTTTTTAAAACTCTTTTTTATTTTATTTATTGTTTGTTTTATTTTTTTTATTTTGTTTTTTTTATTCTTTATTTTTTTTTTTGAGAAAAAAAATATTAAAAAGATATTAATTAGCTACCAGAAATCTAAATCATGTAACTCTATATGAGTTATATGATTTTGAAAAAGCTAATAAGCAAGTATACATAGGTGAGTTCAATTTTTGAGGTTTTTCGCATAATTCTATAAATGTGAATATATATATATATTCATTTAGAATTGGTAGAAAAATAACTAAATTCAGACTACTCGTAAATTCATTCCAACTATTGAAAGAAACAAAAAAAAAATAAAGCTAAAACATTTTTTGGACAACATATTTAAAAAAGTGGAAAAAAAAAAAAAAGAAAAACTTTAAGATATGTTCATTTTTTTTTTTTTTATATCATTATCAGTACATGTGTTACATAAAAGATAGATATAAGTATATTTATACATTATATACGCCGACATATTTACGCATGTTTCTTTTTTTTTTATATGTTATTATACATGTTTCTATATTTTTATACATATTTATACATGCTTATACATTGCTTATACATTGCTTATACATGCTTATACATTGCTTATACATGCTTATACATTGCTTATACATGCTTATACATATATAATTATCTTTTTTTTTTGTTGAATTTATTCAATATGATTAACATTTTTAAAATTATAAATAAAAAAAAAAAATTTGCTTTTTTTCGTATAAATATATACCTAAACTTTCAATGTTTTAATTACTTTAAAGTAATAATAAATTAAAAAAATATATATATATATATATCATAATAAAATATGTTACTGAAGTTTTATAATAAAAAAAAAGGAATACTTTTAAAGCTATTTTTAACATAGCCGTAGTGTAATATTCTAGAACTAATTTATGGCAAGTTATGGTTTAAAAAAAAAATATATATATATGTATATTATCAACCACAAGAGTAGAGATAATGTAAACAAACTGGTGATAAGTAAAAGGAACCAATATATATAATTTATTTTTTTTTTGAGTAAATCATTTCAATTATTGTTTGTTCGTTTATTTGCTTACACAAATACCTTATTTATACATATTTTTATTTTATTTTTTTGCACGCTTAAAAAATAAAAATTCAACAATTCAGTAATTTTATTATTATTATATATTTTTTTTTTTTTATACATATATAAATAACGTACTTTATGTAATTTTCAGCTATTTGAATGTTCTTTTTGTTCATTCATTTTTTGTTCATTCATTTTTTGTTTGTTTTTTTTTTGTTCATTCATTTTTTGTTTGTTTTTTTTTTGTTCATTCATTTTTTGTTCGTTTTTTTTTTTTGTTCGTTTTTTTTTTGTTCGTTTTTTTTTTTGTTCGTTTTTTTTATTTAAAAATTATAACATAATTGTTTGTATTGAATTTCGAATTTACTTATGTTCAATTTTTTTTTTTCTTTCTAATTAAAAATTGTTATTAATATATATATATTTATGTATGAGCTATATAAATATGAAGCAAAAACTAATATATACATAACGCTTTGAACCTCGGTATTGTATAATTATTAAAGTAATAAAAACAAAAAGTGACCCGAATATAAAAAAAAAAAAAAAAAAAAAAAAAAAAAAAAAAAAGATTTACTAAACTTTAATCGCGTTCAAACGATTTTTCCAAATTTTCAGAAATATCATTGTTATTAAATATTAATGGTGAAAAATAAATGGACATAAATAAATGTGGATATAATAAAAAAAAAAAAAATGCGAACTTTATGAGAAATGACTGACTTCTTAAGGTACATACGCAGATATAACGCAGTAACATTTGAATGTATATATATAAATATATATATATATATATATATATATATATATATATACGTCTACATGTTAGTTTATTACTTTTCAAAAGATTAACAAACAACATACACGTAAACGCAAAATAATACTTACGAGTGTTCCTTATATATATATGTATATGTATATGTATATGCATTAGTATATATGTGTTATTTTTTTTTTTTTTTTTTGTAAATTTATAGAAATATACCCAAACCGAAACACAAATCCAATGCTAATATAGATGAAGATTATTATGAAACAGGTTTAAATTTCAAACCAAATACAAGTGCAAGTGCAAATGCAAAGGGAGAGAAAATAAAAAATGAATGTTATGAATATTTAAAAAGAAAACACTTAAGGATTACATGTAATGATGATTTTAGAGGAGGTGGCGCTTATCCAGAAATACATATATTTCAATATCCTAATGATATGGGATTAAAAAAAAAAAACAATTCTTCAAAAAATTTAGTTTTAAAATATATTGATGATAATAATAATGTAAGATATGATAACTTAATTAATGAAGAGGTACATTTATATAATAATAGTATTGATGCAATAGAGCCAAATGATAAAATAAACAAATTAAGAAAAAAAAAAATTTTGTCACAAGTAAAAGATAGAGAAGAAAAATATAATGAACCAATTTATAAACCCGATGATGAAGAAGAAAGTGAAATAATTGAAAATACAAAAAAAAGTATTGCTAATGTATTAAATGAAAAAATAAATAAAAATTCATTAACAAAAAAAGAAGATAAATTTTATAGATATATACCAAATAATAAATTAAATGATCAATTAGATCAAAGAATTATAAAAGTTGTAGAAAAAGCAACAGATCCTCTAGATGTTTCCAAATTCAAACATAAAAAATTACCAAACGTAAAACAATCACCAGATTATCCATTACTAAGATCACCAACTCAAAAAATAACAGCTGAAGAAGAAAAACAATGGCAAATGCCTCCATGTGTTTCAAATTGGAAAAACAATAAAGGATATAATATACCATTAGATAAAAGAGTACAAGCTGATTATAAAAAATTAAATAATATTGAAATTAATGACAAATTTGCACAATTAAGTGAATATTTATATATAGCTGAAAAAAAAGCTAGAGAAGAAATAAAAATAAGAAATAGTGCTATAAAACAGAAAAAATTAAAAGAAAAAGAACAAAAAGAAAATATACTTAAAAATTTAGCTATGAAAGCTAGGGAAGAAAAACAAAATACACGAAGTTCAATCATAAATGAAAGAAAAAGAGAAATAGAAAGAGAATATAAAATTGAAAAAAATCTAAAAAAAATTAAAAATTATGAAAATAGGCATACAGAAGAACAAATAGCATTAAATAAAGTTAACGCTGGGAAACATAATAACATATACGATATTAGTTTATATAATTTAAATAATAATGATAGTAGTATAAATAATACAGCCGATGACACATATCAAATATATGATACTGCTTTGTTTAATAAGCAGCCAACTAATAATAATATTTATAAATTTTCAAGCAATAGAGTAAAAAAAACTCTTCAAAAAACGGAACTACCAACAAATGCACAAGCGATTAAGTTTGTTAAGGATATAGCAGATCCTTTTGGTCTTGATAGTTTACTATCTCAGGCAAAAGATAAAAAATGATTTTTTTCTTATTACTGTTATTATTATTATTATTATTACTGTTATTACTATTATTATTACTGTTATTATTATTATTATTATTATTACTGTTATTACTGTTATTATTATTACTGTTATTACTGTTATTATTATTATTATTAGTTTTCGCTCACGGTTACGATTGAAAAGGAAAGGTTTAGGAAAACGTAAGTTTTCTTTAATTTATGTTTCAAAGTAAATATACATATATCAATGTTTGTTTATTATTTCATGAGATGACTACACTAAATACATACACATTTGTTATTTTATTTTATTTTTTTTTTATTTGTTTTATTTTTTTAAGTTAAAACAACTATAATTTATATAAAAATAAAAATCCCCACAACATATATTTGTACAGTGATGGTAAAAATACATTTTATATACACGCACATATATGCTATATTGCAACATATGTGGTACAAATTGAATCGTTTAATTTTGTGGTCATTTTTTTTGGTCATATATATATATATATATATATATATATATATATCTAATATATTTTTTTTTTTTTTTTTTTTTTTTTTTTAAGTTAATTAATGATGTTGACGTTATTAAATGCAAAAGAACAAAAAAAAAAAATTTTAGAACTAAACCTGTGAATAAATAAAATAAAAAAAAAAAAAAAAAAAAAAAAAATTAAAAAAAAAAAAAAAAAAAAAAAAAAAAAAAAAAAAAAAATATTAATTATAAATATAAATAAAAAAAAAAAAAAAAAAAAAAAAAAAGAACAGTATACATGTAAATACAAAACAAAAAAAAATGTTATAATAATATAATGTATCGTATTATATGTATAAATATGTACATACATACGTACATACATATATATATATTGATCTACATGTGTATGTATTTACTCACACATTTGGGTGCCTGTGAGACGAAATGAATAGCCAAATTGTAAAAATAAAAAAATTATAAGTTATGTTAACAAGTACATACAATAACAATAATGACAATAATAAATGCAAATATTGTTAACAGTTAATCAATTACAATATAATAAACTAAAAAAAAAAAAAGTTATATTAAAGTTATGGGATCCAGTATTCCATCCATATAATGTATATATATAACCATATAATGAATATATATAGTGTATACATATTTAACCATGTAAGATATGTGAGTGTACATGCTCATGTACAAATAAAAAGATCAAAAACCAAAATATTTACAAATGCCCATATTTGTATTCATATTTTTAACCGTTTTAAAAAATGAAGATAGTTTTGGGAAAGAGTATGCATCATTTGAAGCATAATTAAATAAAAAGTCATGTTTTTGATTTTTATTTTCTGAACTAGCAATACACATTCCATTACAATAATTTTTTATCATGGTGTCAGGATCATCATCAGATGATGTATACAACCAAAAGTCAGTATTTGTATAAATGTGTTCATATGCCGTATTTTTTAATATTTTATTATTTATAGCATCTATTATGTTTTTATTTAAATTTATTTTATTTCTTAAATTGTTTAATTTGAAAACTGTTATTTTTGTATTTAATGGTAAACTTATACTTCTGCTTGGTTTCATGTTGCCTTTTTCTTTTTCCTCTCTCCTTTGCATTTGTTTTTGCCCTTTCCTTCGCATTTGCTTTGGTATTCTTCTTTCTAAGATAAATTTTTTTAAATTGTTATAAATATGGTGATAATTATCACTGTTGTCATCACTTTCAATGGTCTTTGTGTGGATCCAATCTTTTTTCTCACTTTTCTCACTTTTCTCATTTTTCTCATTTTTCTCACTTTTC